ACAACCTTTTTCCAGAGTTTGGGGGATTAGCATTGTTGAAACTACCGTCAATATTGTTTACAGGATCTTCAAATAGACAAGGTCAATTTTTTTACATTCAGGGCCTTACCCCTGGTTCAAGGAATGCATAATTGCTCCTTAACACCACAGAATCAAAGAATCTTAGAAACAGAAAAGTCTGCAAGGGCCATCTAATCCAACTCTTTGCCATGCAACTAAAGCACTTGAGAGATCCCCATCCAACCTCTGTTTAAAGACCTACAAAGAAGACGAGTCCACCACCCTCTGTGGCAGCCCATTCCACTACTGAAGGGCTCTTACAGTAAAGATGTTCTTCCTAATGTTTAAGTGGAATTTCTTTCCTTATATTTGAATCCACTCAATTGTGTTCTCGTCTCAGGAGCATCATCACTTTCATCTCTTTATTGCAGCCATGAAGCATATTACAACACACATTTTAGTAAATTGTGTGCAGTATATATTAGAACATGTAAAACAGAATCTGCATTTATTTTTAAAAATAGGTTACATATAATACTAATTATAGTGTCACGGGTGATTTGGTTAAAACAGTTAAATTTAGAAACTTGGCCACTTGTTGAGTGACTAACTTGTAAGAACCCTAGAACAAATGATCACAAGAGACTCAGGAAAGCAACCTGGGTTAAGTTATATAATAGGGTATACTAGCTTTTCTCTGGCTGTTCCTTGTCTTTTCAAGGAAGGCACACTAGACCTAATGACTGGGGGTGGGGGAATTAACCCAAAATCTCTTTATGACAAAATAATCCGTTTCAGATAACTGTTTTAATTACTTTTAAATGTCAGAGATGCACAAGTGAGATACTGAATCAAAGACCAGTGTGAAGGCTTTCCAAATAAGGCTTAGAGATATATTTAGGCTGGATCACCCATAACTTTTGTATGCATCAGCTGCAAGAACTCTGGTTCCAATGGACTGAAATGAGCGCCCACAAGAACTTGGGTTCACTTTTAAGTAATGCAGAATGTTTATGAACATTCCAATTGCTCAAACGTTTTTTAAAAACAAGACCCAATGCATTACTTATAGTAGGGAAGGCTCTGAAAAACAGCAATCGTTGATGGGCTAGGGAGGAGATAAAGGAATAAGACTTGGTAGAAACCTCTGCATTATTGTTCCAACTTCAGCACATGAATCACCTTTAAATAAACTGGAGTTCTGGAATAATACCTTTTGGAAGAGGGGTGTAAAACTGGAAAGAAGGCCCATGAGCAATGACTGGAATTGATGGAAATAAACTAAATGGGAGACATTTAAATAACATTGTGATAGCTGCCTATTCTAAATTAACTAAATGTTGGGGTTGAGGGACGGTGTACTGTTGTTTGCAAATCCATTTCAAATCCATACCGTACTTTTTTTTATGAAGGCATGCTCTTCCATTTTGATAATCTCCCCCATCTCCTT